CATGTGTTTTGCTTTTCAGTTCTACTGGGAGTATGTTTAACTTGGTGCGCATCTTTCTGTTTCTCAGTAGCTCAAATGGGGTTACTCCGGTGGTTGCATGAGGAGTAGCTCGGTAGTTGTRCAGGAATTCTGTTACAGSTTCCTTCCATGAGCTGTGACTTCTTTCAGATGTTTGTATGCACTCCTTAAGTACTCTGTTGAATCTTTCCACAGCACCATTTGCTTTAGGGTAGTATACACTGGACCTTAAGTGCTGTATCTCCCTCTCTCTCAGAAAAGTACTAAATGCATGAGAAGTAAACTGACAACCATTATCTGAGACAAGATACATCGGATTACCTTCCCTACTGAACACAGTGGCTAAAAAGCGAATGATAACATCTTTAGTGACAGTAGAACTGAATGCAACCTCAGGCCATTTGCTGTAGTAATCTGTAAGTACAATAGCATRACGGCAGTCCCATGTAGCATTTTCAAATGGACCTGTAATGTCTATTGCAACTTTTTCCCATGGTTTACTGGGGAATTCAACTGGAGTGAGTGGAGCAGGAGCAGTTATGGCTACTTTATCACTGAACTGGCAGTCAACACAGGAAGCAATGACAGAATGTACAAATTTGTCCAGTTGTGGCCACCAGAAAAGTTCACGCAGTCTCTGCTTGGTACGGACAATGCCTTGATGTCCTTCATGTGCCAAGTCAACAATCCTGGCACGCWGTGAAACAGGVACAACTAGTCGATCTGTCAATCTCAATATCAGTGAACCATGAACGGACAACTCATGTCGTATCTGGAAGTATGGAGTAAGGTTCTCTGGAAGACCTTTTTTGCATTTGGGCCAACCTTTTTCAATCTGGTTGCGCAGCAGTGAAAGTTCTGGACAGATTTCACTGGCAGAAGTGAACTCTGGAAGAGAAATGGCACACAGTGACTCTTTAAAAACAGCAGCAATCATGTCAGGTTCCTCTGTTGCCTCATTTTCAGCAGTTAGTGGTAGTCGAGACAGGCAGTCAGCAGTGACGTTTAGATTTCCTGGGCGGTAAGTGACGTCGTATGTAAAGCAGAGCAGTCGAGCGGACCATCTGGCTATCCTTAGTCCAGCACGGCCAGAACCTTTAGAGGTGAGTAAAGTCGTAAGYGCTTGGTGATCTGTACGAAGAACAAAGCGACGACCCCAGAGGTAGGTTCTCCACCTTTCCACAGCCCAAACGCAGGCAAGAGCTTCAYRTTCGACYGTGGAGTACTTGCGCTCAGCAGAAGAAAGAGTCCTTGATGCAAAAGCGACAACTCTCTCACCTTGATCTGAATGCAGTTGAGTTAACACCGCGCCCAGTCCATAGTCTGAAGCATCAGTTGTAACATAGGTTGGTAACTCAGGGTCATACAGAGCTAAGGCAGGACTATTGACTATGAGGTTTTTAAGTGAAGTGAAGCTAGRCTGTGCTTCTGTCGTCCACTTGAAGCTTAAATCTGTAGAGTCTCTGAGCACTGCACGTAATGGCTCAATAACAGTTGCAAAATCCGGAAAGAACTTACTGTACCATGATACAAGACCAAGGAAAGATCTCAGAGAAGACGTGTCATGTGGAGCTGGAGCATGAATCACAGCAGTGACTCTATCCTGATCTGGTTGAAGACCTTCTTTTGAAATGGTGTGACCCAGGTAGTTTAGTGAAGGTTGA